TTCCATAGGCTCCACTGTACCTACCAGAACTCCTGAGGAATTATTTACCATTTAGCATTTGCTAGCCCAATTAGGATATGACTCTGCTGAGCATTTGCATCCAGTTTTCCAAAAGATGAAGAGGTCTTTCAATGTGCAAATTAATTTTTTTTCTTTTTCAGTGAATTACTTTTCTTCATTTTGCAAAATTACCTTCTGTTTCATTGTTTTGGAATATCAACTTCTGGACACAAATAATCTTTTTAGATTATCTTTGTCTTTAAAATTTACAGACTTTTCTCTAATTGCATTAACCCATTTTCCTTTTTCATTCACTCTGAGTTTTTCAAAACTTTCATCTTTATGTGTAAAGATTTTCACCTGACCTATTCTGTTTTCTTCTATTTATAATGAATATTTTTTCTATAATCATTACGATTTTCCATTTTTAATTCATTTCCTGAGACCTAGATCTCCTTTCTCATTTCATTCTCTTACCATTTCACCTTTGAGCTTTTCTTTTATAAAATTTATGTTTTTATTAAGGTTCTCTATTTGTGGGAAGCAATACTTAGACAACTAATTCCATGGGTTCAATGAGTTGATGTTTCTCCTTCGTAGAAGCTCTAAGGTTAGTTGGTGAGACATCTATCACTCCAAAGAGCTATGGATCAATCATTCTCCCAGTTTAGTGTGCTGCTCTCAAGTCTTCATTTCTACTATTTCTCAGTCACGAGAGAAAACAATAACAACCCTAAAAAGGCGAGGATTCAGTTTGCTTCTCTCCTGATTTGGGAATGTTAGTGAGAATTATCAGGAACTGGTCAACTTGCCAGTAAAATTCTAAGTCAGCCCAGGAGACAGGTCTCTCTGTTATGATCAAAGAACCTCCACTTCCATTTTTTTTCCCTTGGTTGTTAATCTCTGCGGTCTATTGCATTAGGTTCTATCATTTTCTTTATTCAGATACTGTTGAATATATTGGGTGGCAGAGGTGCAAGGGGTGTTTGTTGGCTGACATGCTGTTTTGAGCTCACTTTATTATTTACCAGTAGTGAGAAATTATGAAGTAAATTTTTAAAATCTCTCATCTCCAAAATCAAAATCATCATTTAGAATATTTTTTGAATTCAGAATTTGGATTTATTTTCACCTCCTAAGGGGTTTTATTGGATGTTCCTACTTAATGGACATACAATAATTATGCCTGTTTCATCCTTAGAAATATAAAATACTCATTCTTGTCCCCATTCTCAATGAGCCTATTTGTAACTATATTTCTGATTGATACCTATCAACTCTCTCGATTGTTAACAGATTTCCAAGTGAAGATAACCTGAGTTAGAGAACGGCAAAACAGTAATTATGGGGAATACCAGAAGTGATTCTTGACATGACAGGAACATTTTACAGACTTACATTTTCATAATTAGATTCTGCTTTTCAAGTAGACATAAGTGACGTGACTACTGAATCTAAAATGCTTCCTTCCCCTCAACACCACATACCAAGGAACAAAGGATTCAAAAAGGGTGAAGACATATAAAATAATTTTAGGATTTCAATTTAAATGTTTTTCTTTTATACCCTAAAATAAGAATAGATGGCCAAAATAGGAGTTTTCCTTATTGTAAATATATCTTACATCACTTCTGTACAACCTCTAGGAAATTCCTTTGTAATAATTGTTCCAATATTATCTGGCCAGCTCTGCCGCCTAACATGTTAAATAAGATGCCTGGCAACGGGAGAATACCCCTAATCCTGCCAGCTCCTGCAGAGTGACCCGAGTCAGTATTTGCACATGCTTCAGTTTCTGCCACAGTTATCACTTACACTGGCCCACACAAGCCACAAAAGTAGGGATGTACTTGGCATAATGTGTCACTCTTACTGAATTCTAAGATCTAATATTATAGAACTTTAAACTAACATATATTAGTACAATATTATAGAATCTGGTTCTACCAAAGATGGTTAGCCTGGCTGAGTCAGTATCAGGAAAACACAGAACCATAAAAAACACTTGTATTCCAATAGTATATAAAGAGTACTGAACAAAAACCATCTATATTAGTGCATAATATGCAATATAACTAGAACAACAAATGGGAACTCTAAAGCAATTGCTAAGGAAATTACACAGCAGAACCAATGTTTTAAAAATAATTTCAAGAAATCTGCCATTGGGGTTCACTGTTCAATCACATACTGTGCAACTTCCTTGCCTTTATTACATAATGAGACATTTCACAGAACACACACACACTAACCACTCTGACCTATAGTAATAATCTGCATAAGGAAAAATCTTAACTCTTATCAGACCAAGATGAAAAAAGAAATAGTTGATTTATAAGATAACTAAAGAAAATTGATTATCAAAACAAACAATCATTTCCTCCCATGTGACCTACAATGTAACTTATTTGGCTTGCTCTGCAAGATAGAACATAGCATTGAAAAGCCAGGATCCTAGGTTCATTCACTAAAAACAACAATAATAATGAGTATAGCTTTTAAAGGCATATTGACACATTTGAACCTCACAAGAATGCTAAGAGACAAGCAGAAGGACATCATTTTTCTTCAGTTTGAAGACAAGTAAAAAAATCAGTACACAATTGGCTAGCAGCGGAGCTCATGCTAGAGTACAGAGCGTCTGACTCCTAAAACAGTGCTCTCTCCACTCCTCTTCACTGCTGCCAGGCATCCTTTCTCTCCTTCAAATCCAAAGACTCTCTCTACTTCTAAGCCTATGAATCATATGCAGACCACTGGTCCAAAAGGGAGCTGCACAAGATTTGTAGCTAAATAAAGACAAACACATCCCTAATTTAGCTGTTAACTCAAAGGACAAACCCTACTGATAGTGGTTCATCAGCATCACCATCCGTTTCCTAGCTCGACAGCGATAGATCTCAGTTTACTGAAGGTTAAAATAGGTAAAGAGATTTTAAAAACCTCAGTGCCCACGCTGTCCCCCACACCAATTAAATCAGAAATTCTGGGAGTGAAATCTCGGTATCATATTTTGTAAAGAGCTACTGGTGAGTCCATCTTTGAGAACCAGTGCCTCATAGGAAATATATAATAAAGACTAGGCAAATTAAATTTAAGAACATGTATGAAATATATGCTATGGTAGGAAGAATGCAATTGTTTTTATGCTTAATATTTTTAAAAATAAATAGTACTTAGTGATTATGTGTTTATACCAGACAAGTTTGGGAGTTGATGTTAACCTATATCACCTTTCATTTAATAGCTGGTGCTTAAAGGTTGCTTCTTGTAGAACTGGCAAAAGCATGGACAGCCTGAAGCACTTTCCTGTCTGAAAATCTTATTGCTTTGTATACAAACCACGAAATGCTAGGAAAATGACCATCTCTACTGAAATAGGTGTAAAGTTGTGTGTGATTATCAAAGATATGGAGAAAAAAAATCCAAAGCTTACAAACACCTGTAGCCAGCCTCAGAGTCAGCAGACACTTGCTACTTGGAAGGCATACATGTTTCTACCATATGAAAGAAATCTCAAACTTGAAACACAGATGTGAGGACTAAACGGATAAAGCTCAGTACTGAAAAGATTTCTAAAACAGTTATTTTCAAAGAGTTCATCCATATTTTAAAAATAAAATGCTAAGTTAAATGACCAGTCCCATTAGAGACATACCTGCTAAACCCTTGCGGACACCTTGTCAGCTTTGCAGCTACAAGAATAAATGGTACTGAAATTCTGGTAGGTTTGCTTTTGTTAAAAAGGCACTACTCATTAGCATAATTCCTGTCACTTAAGTGTATAAATACCAAATTGTGCAAAATTGATATTTTATTGTGATTCCATGAGAAGACTGGGTCAACAGAAGCTTTGACCTTAAAAACATCATAACTAACCAAGGTTTAAAGAAAACTAGCTTTAAACATAGATCCCCATATGGGAAGGTGTATTAACACCAAAACAGACATCATGCCAACCTGTGGAGTATTTCTTTCACACCTAGCTCTACAAAGTAAACACTGCTTTATATGGCATTCTTATCATGGAAATCTAGGCAGTGATCTATAATTACAATTAAGCCCACATGGGAAGTGGGATCTAAGTGAGAACTTTAAGCCAATTTTAGGTTGAAACATTCGGAAGGGAACAGAAACAAAGAGTTCCCAAAGCTTTAGGAAATAGCCATAGGAAATAAATATGAAAGGCAATTATTACAAGTAAGTGATATCGCCTGGAGAGTATATTCATTTAGTAAGTATAAATCGACAAGGCTGACAAGCTCCATCTCCCACCAGCTCATCCAGTAGAAACTAGAAATTAGAATCTGTTCCTATTATCCTTTAAAATGCTGCACCTGCTTTTAACGCATTTACATGTGTGTTATGCCATCACATCTGCCTGACAATGCTAGACTTCCCACATGTTTCTGAAGAAAATTAAAATAAGCATCTGCTAATAACAATTTTATTTCATCCTAAACAGTTTCATTTGGGGCTATTGAGAAAAAGGCACATGATGGAAAAAAGAAAACTACCTTTATAACTCTGTAGCAAACACATTTTAGAAGGTAGTCTGTAAATAGATGTGCTTCTGTAGGCACACAGAAAATAAAAAATCATCAGGCTAGCCGGGGTTAAAACAGAAGCCCCAATCTGAACTTACCTGATTTTTAAAGTCCTATTAGAATAGGCTTATAATCAGTACAGATCTCCTTTTTCTAGTCGCATAGTAAAGGTGAAAACACCTCCAACTACATTTTACTTATCTCAGTCTCATCTTTCATCAGAAGCAATAGCTGGCAATTTCATTCAGAAGCTGCTGTCCCTAAGCAGACAGAATATGCACAGAAACAGTAATGGAAGGGATCTAAGTTAAACCCTACAGACGCACCAAGAAAATAGCAACATCAACACGAAAAAGCAGCAATTTCCTTAAGAGAGGTGCTTTTCTTAGCTGCATTTCCCAAGCCAGCCTCCTTTCAAACCTAAAACATCTCAGTTATGAAAGAGGATCTTACCTGAGCTGATCATACTGTGCATTCTTTGCTGAGCCAAGAGCTGCTCTCGTCCAGCCACCCCATCTGAGGAAAAACAGGAGTCACTCTCGTAAATTGTTTGCAGCATAATCCAGTCACTCTTACTTCAGCTACATGAAACATTCATCACTGCTCAGTGCACCGGCCCCAGGAGCTACCCTCGCTGGTTCTCCCTCCTCCCTGAGGAGAAGCAGCAGAGGATCAACTTTGACAATGATTTCCTTTCTGCTCAGATGGACATCCACTTTTTTTAAAAAGACCTGGACACTTTTCCCATGTTACCAACCTGTGTGCAAAGCAGAAAGGACAGAGTGGATACTATAGCTCTCTGGAGTTTAGGTTATCCAGGAAACTACAAGCAGGTGGGAAATAGGAACGTGCTTCGGGGTTATTTCTTTGTCAGAATAAGTAGAAAATTATTAAGTCTACCCACGAGAAAAAGAAACCAATTAAACCTGGCTTATAGTTCTTCAGGCTGCTAGGGTTTTGTTGCAAAAACCCTCAGTCCTGCAAGTGGCTCCAGCCGGTGCCCTTCTCCTATCTGCGTCTGTGCTTCTCTTCCCCCTTTCTCAGTCTCTCTCAGCTCAAGTTGGCTAAAGCAAGTGATAATCTATTTGCATATGAATCAACAACAGCATGGCCCACAGGCACAGAAATAGAACAATGGTCGGCCTGAGCCAAAAATAGGTCAAGCATGGCCGAGTGATTGGAGCCTGCATTAATGCATTTAAAAATACCCCAGCAAACCCAGCTGTCCAGCCTCTATCTTTCAAACCATAATTCTCTATTGCAGGGCCTTAAAAGCAATTAACTCTTTCCTTCCTCGGAGCTTGCTTTACACACTGTGTTTCCATACTGGCGATTTGCTTCCAAAGGAAGGAAGGCAAGAGAAAAAATTAAGAATCATAATTCTAAGAGGGCAAATGCACATACATTTCATTTTATTTTATTTTTGTAGTATGTGTTTTTGGAAGAGAGAGGAGAGAAGTGCAGAGCTCTGTATTGGTTCTAAAATAATACTGGAAGCTTTTGCTCATAATGTGGTTTCTGCCTCACCCACGCACAGCAATCCTGGTGTTCTATTTTTGTTGCCTGTTTCTCAGGCTACACTGCAGTTGGCTGTACCACTAGAAGCTTTTCTGCCTTCTAGTTTCAGGACTAACAGGAGATTTAGTAGAGGTAGTTTTGGAAAGCAAGCACACCCCAGAATAAAATTTTTATGAAGGGCCTTGATTTTTTTACTTGCTATTTGTCCAAGATAATTGTCCGTTTCTTATCTTAGTACCACCTATGAATTGTATTGCACCCATGTAGTTTGTACTCTATCTACAAACAAAACAAAACAAAACACAAAACTATGGCTTATATGTGAAAATTTCCCCTCTCATCCTCTCAGACTAAATTCAATTTACTTGCAAAAGGAGAAGAAAATACTCTTGACTTCTTATGAATACAGAATTTCTAAGCATATGCACCTGTTGATGGAGAAATTAACATGGTTATTACCCAACTATGACTGTTCTGCATTCAACTATGCATTGGTTGCCCGAAATATGAACCTCTTAACTTTTCTGTAGAAATACCATTTATGATAGTCAGTAGATTTCCAGACACATTGTGGCATTCAGCTATACAGTACAGTAGATAGTATCAGAGTTTTATAGTCTCTGGTGCACATTTATATCATTTCTATATAAGAGATAAATTTTACATTCCAAAGTAGGATCCTAGCATCTTGTCACTTCCAAGAGCAAACCCAAAAGTGATAATCTGCTAGTCATGGAAGCTCTTTTCTCTTTTCTAAACTAAATCAGCGAGGAAAATGTAAGTCTAAGGCAACAGAAGCAAAAGGGAAAAGAGGAAAAATCAGATTATTTCAAGATTCCCAGAACAATCTGACGGAAGAGGGATCTTGGTTAACTACAGAGTATGAAGTCAGAGGAAGCACACAAGAGGACACAGAGTTTTGACAAAAGGGAAGAAATAAATATGTTAAATCATTCATCACATAATCCACTGCTGAACTCCTCGTTTCACAGATTAATTTCCACTAAATACTTCCTGAAAAATTATATTTGAACAGATAAATTACAATGTTCTAAAAATGTGTATTCCAAACTGCATTTTACTTAAGCTACACAACAAAATCTTTTGTTCTTATCAGTGAAAAAAAAAAAGATCTGATTCCATCTGATATTACAAATAAACTTCTGATTAAGAAATTCACATGCAAAATTCAAAGATTAGAAACAGTGTGGACCTAACAATTTTCTCTGAGGATGATGTATTGATGTAGTAACTATCATCACATTTTATACCTGGGAGGAAATTTAGAGATAAAATTAAAAAATTAGAGATAGTAAATCTCAGTTTGCAAACTCTGCCTCATGATGTTGGGTCCCTGGGAGTCACCTAAGTTTCCTCAAAAGATTCTCCTTGGAACCAGGAGAGCTCCACTTTTACCTGTTTACATTTGGAGATTTAAGATTTCTTTGGAACAACTTTTTTTTTTTTTAATTTGGCAAAACTTCTATTTAAAGAACATTTTTAAAATTGAGGTATATTTGACAAACCAAACAAGATTCTTTATATTTTAGCGGTACAATTTGATTTGATATACCTACACCTTGTGAAATAATTATCATAATCAAGCTATAAATCCATCACCTCTGCTAGTTAGTTACCTTTTTTTTTTTTTTGTGGTGAGATCAGAACAAGAACTTCTTATATTAAGAAAAACAGTAATTGAAATTCGCTCATGAAACTAAGGAGACTTGATTACACAAGAATTCACTATTGGAGTCAAGATTTAAAGAGAGTCGCTTAAGGAAATACAGGTAATTAATACTAACCAAGTAGATCTAGCATTTATATTATCCAGTTTCCCATCTTGTACTTTACCAAAATGATACAAATCATTATCTGAAATATTCTGAATAAAATTTAATATGATCTACTGATGAAAAATCTGTTTCAGAGTGATTTTTAATAGAATACAAAAAATTATGATGAACATACAAGAAGGATAATAAAATCACAGTATTGATATAATATGCCTATTCATCTTTTGTCTTTTTAAGTTTAGATTACACCTTCAAATCACAACTGATTTTTTTAAAAAGGATCTCTGAGCTTTTATAATCATAAACAAAAAATACAATAAAATTCCAGAAGACCGAGTTAGTAATTACCCTAGTTCTCAAAGGTTTCAGGAAGGTCATTCCATATAAAATAGTATAAATAATGTGTCTTCTTCATTTTGACCATAATTTAACATGAGATTTATTCACATTTCATCCCAGCATTCTTGTAGCATGTTTTTCCATTAGCCATTTTCTCTTTAACTCTTGAGAATGAAAAAATATTTTACACTGAAAAGACATTGGATATTTAAAAAAAAAAAAACAAAAAAAAAAAAACACTTGTTTCTGAGAAGAAAAATGGGTATCATTAAAACAACCATCAACTATATAGATTACCATATTTCTATTATTAAGAATGTTTAGTTAATTCTTCTTGCATCATCTCAACAATCCTAGTAAAGAAATGTAACTGTTTCTTTTGGGGTATTTATAAAACTACATTTGACTAATTTGGAGGAAGAAGACAATTGTTCTATTACAAGAACTGTAAGAAGCTAATACAAATGTCAGGCTAGATTAGACGGGTAGTTTAAAAATTTTCAATATAATAAATTCAAATTCAATAAAATAAGTATTTATTGGAAATCTATCTAAACATTATATTTTATATACATATTAGTCAAAGAAAAAGGTAAAAAAAGAACAAGGGTCAAAAAAATACAGGTTCTCAATTTAATAGTAAATGAGAGTGGAAATTGAATCCTAATGTAAAATGTTATTTCAAAGTTATCATAATCCCATTTCTTTTTATGCAGACATATAGGCAAAAAAAAGTATTAAAAACCTGTATGGCACCAAAATATTTCCAGATATATGCTCAGACCTCTAGCTCACAGTGACCTTTTCTAAAATGGATTTGGATCATAATCCTGAAAGACACAATCCCACGTACCATAATCCTGAATGTTGAAATCTGAAAATATTTTTTAAAATCCCAAAAGTCTAAATCCCTTAGGTCTAAAATCTCTCATGTCTACAATCCTGAAAATGACAATTTCAAAATATTAAAATCTTGAATATGAAATCTTGAAAGATGAATTCTGGGGAAGGGATTAGTTTTTGGTCACTTGCAGGATGATTCCATCGTGTTAGTTGCATCATGTTAGGCAGTTGTTATGGTCTTTATTTGGAAATTAAGTATGGTTAAGGAGATACTTACAGGAGCCAAGTTGTCAAGGGGTGGACCTGTGGATTCAATTTTAAAGATCAATTTGACTGGATTAAATTCTTAGAACCTATTAAGGTTCTAAGAATAAAGCATTTTTTGGGGTGTGTCTGTGAGGGTGCTTCCAGATGATATTAGTGTGCGAGTTTGAATGGATTAGGTGGAGAAGATCTCCCCTCAGTGTTGTTAGGCACCATCTGATCCACCAGGAGCCCTGATGGAACAAACACAGGAGAATGAGGGCAGACTTCTCTACGAATGACTTGGACATCAGAAATTTGACTCCACGAGAATTGCATTATCAGAATGTTGACTTTGCATATAAGCATTTTCCATACCCAAACATGTTGAAATTTCTTCAATAAATGAAGGAAATATTTTGTTATGTCTGCATTTGTAAAAGAAAATGTATCAGGATCTTGGCTCTTTGGATAACTATATATGTGTTGGTGACCCACAGCATTTTTTGATCCATCATGCCAAAATTTTAGCTTATTCATCATGGAATTTTAGATGACTACAGTTATAAAAAGCTGGGTGCACACAATCATCAACCACAGCGATATGCATTTATACATTTCCCTTTTTGACCTATTTCTTTATAAATACAGTTTGTCTGCTCATAACTGTTATACTGGGTATGACTGTTAGTATACCTGGGTGGTTTTGCTTGTAAAAATTTGTGCCATTATTTCCCATTTTACCATGTACAGTGTTTTGTTTTGTTTTTTATGTTTTTTAAATTAACCCCCTTTTAAATTGTAAATAAATATAATTTAAAGAATGTCTTATTATTTTTTACAGGATCATATTTTTATCTTTTGGGATCTCCACACCTGAAAGTATGAAGTTCAAGTTGTGTTTTTCTGGATTATAATAGACTTTTTTCTAAAATCGGTCTCAGTTGATAACTGGAAGCAAGCAAGGAAGGTAGTGTAACTCAATTTATTCTACCACAACAATATATCCTCAGATCATCTGTAATCAAGCAGAGACTTTTAATGTATTAACAAACCCTATGATTCTGGAATCTAAATGAAGTAAGATTTAAAATTTAATTACCTCAAATACTGAATCTGTGCTCTACAACTGTAGCATGCTGCAAATTACTGACCAGTAACTGGTGCTCCTCCACTTCACTCCCTCCCTCCCTCACTCAGTTACCTCTTCTGCCAACCTGTCATTCCTCAAACTATTGTTATAGCAATATAATCATATGCATTTGCCTACAGTCAGTGAGTTTGATTCCCTTATATCTCCAAGGAATAGGATGGAGAAGAAAGTACAGTGTACAAATTTTTGTCCTAACTGAAGACCTTATTTATGCGAATTTTCTATTTCTTAAAGGAACAGCATCAATTCTAATTGAATATGGGATACTCAACAAGTGATTTCTCCCCATTTAGAAAGCCTAATTAAATAACAAATGGTCTTCACACGAGGAAGTCTTCCTCATCTGAGGAAAGATTTTACAGCAGGTAAAGGGTCTAAGAAATCATGTCTGCATTAAAATTTCAGGGAGACTTATATGTGAAAGCAGAACAAATCAATGACAATAAAAGCTTTAGAATCATAGGCCTTACACTGATTGAAAATAATTTCTTTCCTAACTCTTCCCTTCAAATGGGATGTATTGAGCCACGATTTATTCTATTTTTAGAGGATTACAGATGATCAAAATCACACGGACACTTGCTAGAAGTGCCATTTATTGGTTCCTACCCCAAAACTACAAAGTCAGAATCTCTGTAAGGAATCTGTATGTTAACTGGCCCTCCAAGTAATTCTGATGCACAATAAAGTTTGAGAACCACAAGATGAGATCATCCTTTCCAAAGCAGGAATTGCATGGCAAAAATATAAAAGAATAATTGGTGTGATTTCAAATTAGCCAATATTTTTAGAGAACAATTTTTTAACATGAAATTAGACTAGGTAAGGTGAGGTAAGAACAAGGCCATTATTATTCGGAGTATGAAAGACTAATGTGGATTGTTCAGAAAGGGATCCTCTAGCTTGCAAACGAGAGCAGCACTGTACTCTTAAGGTGATGGGCATGTGTGCACGGCTTTTTCCTGCTCAGCCACTTTGTTCCAGGTTCTGTTTTTCCTATTTGCCAGTTGCACATCAGCCCCTCTCTGCAGAGCTCAAGGCAGCCAGAAGAGGAGGAGAAATCAATATGGCCCTGTACAGTCCTGTAATTAGAGACAAGTAAAACTTGTCTTTTGATAGAATCAAGGGAAGTTTATTTTTTTATGTTTTTATTTTTTAAAATGGTCTTTTGACAGAATCAAGGTAAGTTTATTTTTTTCTATGAAAGTGAGTTATTTCATATATTGAATATCAACTATTTCACAGCCACAGTGCAAGCCCTGAATATATAAATGTACACAAGAATGACACTGTCTCTACTTTCATGGAATTTTCAGTTTTAGAAGCAATACAGTCAAGGTGATTACTATACAGTTTGATAAGAAACTCTATAACTAAATTTTGTTCAAATCTTCCCTGAATTTTAATTTATAACCATGGATTCAAAATAATAAATCTTTCAGGATTGTTATGGGAATGACAGAGAATTATATAATACCTGGCAAACAGATATTCAATAAGTACTATTATTAATATAGCTGGTTATAAAAATACCCTTCTTTGGACCTTTAATTCATGGTTATTAAAATAGTGAAAGGCTGTTACTCATCTATTTTTCTAAGAAACTGTATAAATTCTAAAGGAAGTTACATAATTGATTAAATGTTGAATTATTTACTCAGAGCTATAAAAAGTTGCATGTATCAATTTGAAAAGATAGTCCATTTTGCTTTCTGCTGTATCGCCAGAGCTTAGCATAATGTCTGGCACGTAGAATGTCACTCAATAAATATTTCTGCAATGAATAAATGATTCCTTCTTCAGATGAACCTATTAAGTGACTACTGATCTTGAGTAAATCACTAATATACCATTCAATCTCTAATATTTCATTGTTATTCATTTTATATAGTTTCTTATTAAAGTATCAATAATAAAAATAAATCATAGTCAAAAGCTAAGTATATAAATGAATAAAGAATCTCACTGAAAGCAAGTGCAGTTTAATTGCACTTCGACTTTTTGCATTTCCTTTTCCTTGTTATTGTCCCACAACATAGGCCAACCAGTGAAAAAGACTAGGTATCAGACTGTAGCAGAAATAATCTCAATGTGTCCATCATTATCTACTACAATGTGAATAAATAAAGTATTAAATTATCTTTCTTGTGAGGCATTTAGCAGATATCAGCACTAAGAAATTAGTATAAAAAGGTGTTTGTAACTCCACTTTATGGTAATGGATCTAGTAATTCCGTAGTCATGACAGGGCTTCCAGAAAACTCTGGTTATCGATTGCATTGGCTAATGTCTTCATACCCTACCTTTAACACATAAATTTCATTGAATACTCAAAATTCCGCTTAAAGTTCTAGAAGAAACATAATACAGCTTCAGACCCAACTTTGCCTCCTTTCAAAGGTCAGTTGAGAAACATAACACAACTTTTACACTTCATATAAATAGTATTTCTGTGACCCTAAAACTAATACTTCACATGAGAAAACTAAGCAAATTAACACCATTTTGCGTTAGTGTATGTACTACATATGCCTGAATGTATCAGTACGCCATCAATCAGAAATCCTTGCTTTTCTTTTAAATGGCATGTAATGGTTCGTGCTGATAACGAAGCACCATTTTCTTTAACAGTGTCTACTTTTTGAAATACAAGTTAACACTGACTAACTCATCCTATGTTGACTAAGCTATCTACAAACAAGGTGTTCACAGGATCAGCAACTCTTAATGGAAAGCTCCAGTTCAAGCAAACACTATTTTTGCTACAGGACTATGAAAATAAAAAATTCTGACATTGAGTTGCGAGGTGCATCGGGGCTGCCTTTAGGATTCAGCACCATGGCAGAAGAGGTGAAGTCCAAACTCAAGAACTACAAGACTGCCCCTTTTGACAGCCGCTTTCCCAACCAGAACCAGACCAGGAACTGCTGGCAGAACTACCTGGACTTCCACCGCTGTGAGAAGGCACTGAATGCTAAAGGAGGTGATGTGTCTGTGTGCCAATGGTACCGGCGTGTATACAAGTCCCTCTGCCCCATAGCCTGGGTCACAGACTGGGACGAGCAGCAGGCTGATGGCACTTTTCCCGGGAATATCTGAACTGGCTGCACCACCCTCTCCTGCATCCTCTTCCTTCTCGCAGGGTGGTAAAGGGAGACCTAGTATCCAGTGATCCCCACCCCGGGATCCTAAATCATGACTTAGCTATTTACGACAAACCAACAGCCAATATCATACTGAATGGGCAAAAACTGGAAGCATTCCCTTTGAAATCTGGCACTAGACAAGGATGCCCTCTCTCACCACTCCTATTCAATATAGTACTGGAAGTTCTAGCCAGAGCAATCAGGCAAGAAAAAGAAATAAAGGGTATTCAAATTGGAAAGGAGGAAATCAAATTGTCTCTATTTGCAGATGACATGATTGTATATCTAGAAGACCCCATCGTCTCAGACCAAAATCTCCTCTGAGACTGATAAACAACTTCAGCAAAGTCTCAGGATACAAAATCAACGTGCAAAAATCACAAGCATTCCTATACACCAGTAAAAGACTTAAAGAGAGCCAAATCAAGAAAGAACTGCCATTCACAATTGCTACAAAGACAATAAAATACCTAGGAATACAACTAACAAGGAACGTAAAGGACCTCTTCAAGGAGAACTACAAGCCACTGCTCAACGAAATAAGAGAGGACACAAACAGATGGAGAAACATTCCATGTTCATGGTTAGGAAGAATCAACATCGTGAAAATGGCCATACTGCCCAAAGTAATTTACAAATTCAATGCTATTCCCATCAAGCTACCAATGACCTTCGTCACAGAACTGGAAAAAAACACCTTAAACTTCATATGGAACCAAAAGAGAGCCCGCATAGCCACGTCAATTCTAAGCAAAAAGAACAAAGCAGGAGGCATCACACTACCGGACTTCAAACTATACTACAAGGCTACAGTAATCAAAACAGCATGGTACTGGTACCAAAACAGAGATACAGACCAATGGAACAGAACAGAGGCCTCAGAGGAAATATAACATACCCAGAACCATCCGATCTTCGACAAGCCTGACAAAAACAAGCAATGGGGAAAGGATTCCCTGTTTAATAAATGGTGTTGGGAAAACTGGCTAGCCATGTGAAGAAAGCAGAAACAGGACCCCTTCCTGACACCTTACACCAAAATTAACTCCAGATGGATTAAAGACTTAAACATCAAACCTAACACCATAAAAACCCTAGAAGAAAATCTAGGCAAAACCATTCAGGACACAGGCGTAGGCAAGGACTTTATGACCAAAACGCCAAAAGCAATGGCAACAAAAGCCAAAATAGACAAATGGGACCTAATCAAACTCCACAGCTTCTGCGCGGCAAAAGAAACAGTCAGTAGAGTGAATCGGCAACCAAAAGAATGGGAAAAAATGTTTGCAGTCTACCCATCGGACAAGGGGCCGATATCCAGAATTTACAAAGAACTAAAACAGATCTACAAGAAAAAAACAAACAAGCCCATTCAAAAATGGGTGAAGGATATGAACAGACACTTTACAAAAGAAGACATGCAGGAGGCCAACAAACATATGAAAAAATGCTCATCATCACTGGTCATCAGAGAAATGCAAATCAAAACCACATTGAGATACCATCTCACACCAGTTAGAATGGCAATCATTAAAAAATCTGGAAACAACAGATGCTGGAGAGGATGTGGAGAAATAGGAACACTTTTACACTGTTGGTGGGAATGTAACTTAATTCAACCACTGTGGAAGATAGTGTGGCGATTCCTCAATGACCTAAAAATAGAAATTCCATTTGACCCAGCAATCCCATTACTGGGTATATATCCAAAGGATTATAAATCATTCTACTATAAGGACACATGCACACGAATGTTCATTGCAGCACTGTTTACAATAGCAAAGACCTGGAACCAACCCAAATGCCCAACGATGATAGACTGGATAGGGAAAATGTGGTACATATACACCATGGAATATTACGCAGCCATCAAAAACGATGAGTTCACGCCCTTTGTAGGAACATGGATGAACCTGGAAACCATCATTCTCAGCAAACTGACACAAGAGCAGAAAATCAAACACCGCATGTTCTCACTCATAGGCGGGTGTTGAACAATGAGAACACATGGACACAGGGAAGGGAGCACTACACACTGGGTTCCGTTGGGGGGAAATGGGGGAGGGACGGGGGGTGGGGAGGTGGGAAGAGATAGCATGGGGAGGTGGGGAGAGACAGATACAGGTGAGGGGACGGAAGGCAGCAAAGCACACTGCCATGTGTGTACCTATGCAACAATCTTGCATGTTCTTCACATGTACCCCAAAACCTAAAATGCAATGAAAAAAAAAAAGAAAAAAAAATTCTAGAAGTCCAGTTAAAAAGGATTAGCATTCTGATCTTCAGTAGTTGGTACGAATCAAAAGTTTATTTTATTCTACAAAATAAGTCTCCTTCTTACATAGCTGCACATATAATATTTATCAACTTGGAAATAAAGAGGATTCTGAACACCAAAATTTCTGTCATGTGTAGCATCTGGATATATATATTTGAGAGCCGTGAAAGACTAAGTTTCTCTGTGCTAACGTAAGTATAGGAGTTATCAAGAAGTCAAGCCAGTGCTTTTTACATCATTTCTTTCTGCAAAGGTCAAGTCGATATGTGCCATACCGCACCATGACCTACAACCAAGTTAAATCAAGAGGATTCTAGAAAGCTTGCCTCAGAAAATAGCAACAACTTTTTTTAATGTAGCAATTCAATTCTGACTTCATAATTCAATCTAGTTGGGTGTGAACTATTGAATTTAAGAAATAGCAAGCACCTAAAACATATTTTACTAATTTTTTGCCAGATTAAAAATATTTATAGCAATGGCATATAATTAAAGTACAAACATTTACAACCGGCCGTATCACTATGTTTATATCATATATCCCATGGTTATATCATGGTTATGAAATCTTCCCTATTTCAGGACTTCTCTTATTTTAGTGCCAAGAACAGAAGCAAACACACTCTTAAGAACATTCAAGTTTTGACAACAACCTGACCTAGGAGTTTAACCCCTAACTTTCTTTAGCAAACTCATGCAACAGACACAATTCCTGGGTATTATCCACACAAATTTTTCTTTCTTCCATGTCTTTGAACATGATGTTCTTGTACTCATTCTTTTTCATTTGGGAAATTCTTTTTCATTTTACCAGCATATAATGTCCTTCATTGTCCCTTATGATGTCTTTTGTCTCAAGATTAGTACAACACACTTTCTTTTTATTCATATTTTTCCAGTAGATATTTTTCTATCCCTTTATTTTCAAACTTTCAATACCTTTATTTTAGTCATCACTTTCTTTTATAAGCAGTCTACTTGTGTAATTTTCTTCCTTTTATCCAATATAAAAATCTCCGCATTTGGTAAGCCCACAAAAGGGATATAGAGGCCTTTGCTAGTATACCATCTTCTATGGAGCTAAAAGCAGTAAATCCCTTTCATCCTCCAAAACACTCCCCATAGATTATCTCCTTGGCAAAGCCACATGTTGATTGAATCGATACATATGAATCTACAGAAATGTAGATAAAACATTTGACAGCTATACACTTCCATTCATACTTATTTTCACAAATAAATGGCAGGCACACAATTTGTACCATCTTCTGCGTTATCCCTCCCCATTCCACCTACTACCCTTCCCCATATCTGTTATTTTTTTTCTGTGCAAAATTATAGCCATACTTAAGTTTCATGTTATCAATATAAAACATGCAGATTATAAATTATCTTATACTTTATTTTCCTAGAATTAAACACAAGGAATTGGACATTTGAGATTCCAGAGAATTTACTTAAAACATTTCCATTTCTATACTGAAACTATTTTTACTGAAAACATTTTTAACAATTGTTTCTACGCTCTTAAGGGTCTCCCTGGTTCTGTCTAATGGACACACTGGCTTCTATTACAGTTTTTCTACAGGACACATTGATGAGACACTTTGAGAACATCAAAGCTCTAATAAAAAGAAGTTCCACCTTATATTCTCATTGACTTGAAAGCTGTCTTTTCAGCTTTAAAAAGATCCTACATGGTCTAAGCCTTTTGAAGGAAGGGACTTATGATAATATACTTTCTAGATCAGAGAGATATATTCTGGAAAATGTGGAAACTTTGGCTTCAGATATTAAATTTGATTCATCAGAATCATGGCATCTCTTTTATATGAAATACAACTACATAACTGGTATAGTTTGCCCTCAAAGTTCATATACTGGAAACTTAACTCCCAGTGCAACCGTGTTGAGAAGTGGGACCTTTAAGAGGTGATTAGGTCCTTCAGGAATGCATTAATGTCATTATCATGAGTGGGTTTATTATAAAAGGGAGTCTAGCCCTCTCTTGCTTTCTCATGCTCTCTTGCCCTTCTGCCTTCCACCACAGGATGATGAAATAAGAAGGCCTCACAAGATGCCCTTACCATGCTCTTAGACTTCCCAGCCTCCAGAACTGTAAATAAATTTCTTTTCTTTATAAATTGCCCAGTCTGTCGTATTCTGTTATAGCAACACAAAACAGACTAAGACAAATAACATTTCAAATAAAGTGGCTTAATGGATCAATAAGAGGCCTAAATTGAGATATAATTTGATTTTAATTTTGTGTCTGCCACATCCTATGCAAGCTGTACAATTTGCATATGTTACTTAACCTTTCTGAGTCACAATTCTCTCATGTTATAAATGGTGATATTAAAATCTGCCTTTCAGTATAGCTTTAATATTTAGAAACAGTAAACATAAAGTTCCTAGCATTATAATAACATAATAGTACTCAATACACAGTAGTCATTATGAGTGTAATATATCATTAATACACAAATTAAGAACTAAATGATTGAGGGACTACTTAGAATTCTGTATTCCAAACTAAGATAACTGAGTTCTGTATAGCTGAACTAAGATCAGCTAGAAACATTATAAAACAAAATATAAAAATCACTATTGTGTTTTGTTTCTTAAAAATAAATATATATAAGTGTATTTAAATTAAATATGAAGAGTTAGAATGGA